CTGGTGTTCTCTCCAGCAATTTCAGATCTATTTCTCTGTGGCAGGACCTCCAGAATGGGATCAAATTCCAGAGGAGATCAGGAGGAGGTAGCCAAGGGTACCAGAAACTACAAGACAGTCAATAAATAATGAATACCAAACCCCAGACTTAAAGCATGGCCAATAAAATTTACTGTATGCCTGACACTTTGCCAGGGTCTGAAGATAAGGTGAACAAAATGGACATGGCCCTGAAGCACAAATTGTGTGAGAGCTATGAAAAAAGAACAGGAGCTCTGAGAGACCAAACTGAGGGCAGATGGGGGAAGTGGGACGAGGTCATAAAGGAAAACTCTGAGGAAGTGACAATTGAATCTGAACCTTAAGTTGGGTGGGTGCAGACTACAGGGGAGCAGAGGAAGAACAGCCCAAGTCAGGAGAGTGCTACAGGTATATACAAAAAACCTTAAGGCTGGAAAAGGCTTGGATGCTTTGAGGAACTCAAAGGATTGTGCAGTCAGAAGATCAGAGGACGTGACACAAGGCTGGAGAGGCCAGAACATGCACAGCTTCATAGGATAAAAAATAAAATCCCAGCCAGATGTGGTAGTGCACACCTATAGTCCCAGTTACCTGGGAGGCTGAGGCAGAAGGATTGCTTGAGCCCAGGAGTTCGCAGTTGCAGTGAGCTACGATCACACCACTGCCCTGCAACCTGGGCGACAGAACAAGACTCTGTTTTAAAAATAAAAAATAAATAAAATCCCAAACTGGCCTGAGTGCAATGGGAAGCCACAGAAGTGGTGCAATCCTAAAAGGGTTCTGAGTGCTCCCCAACTACCGATGCTCCCCTCAGCCCATTAAATCGGGGCTGGGTTGGCAATAAAGGGGCAGGAACCAGTATTTGAGCTCAGTAGAAGGACTGTAGGTCTGGAACAAGAGAATTAATTATACGGCCTTCCAAGTGCTCTAGGATTGCAAACTTGAGAGACTAATAGCATCACTGAAAAATACTGAAAAATGTGATGGAAGAGCTGCTATGAGTAGCATTAGCTAACTTTAAACATACTGAGTATGAAGGAGTAGTAAAGAAATCCAGCAGGCAAATATGGATGTTGCTTTAGAGTATGGAAGAGAGGTCAGGCATGGATATTTGGTTAGTGTATACAGAGGTGACAGTTTAAGTCCCAAAAGTAAATAGCATTTACAAAGAGTAGAAAAAGAGAAAAATAAAACAACAATAAAACGAGCCCTTATTGATTGATCCCGAGCATTTGCTTATCTCTGGGACAGAAATCAGGAAAAGAATGACGCCCAAAAAGGTAAAAAGGACAATACGATATTAGAAAAAATTAAGAAAAGGTAGAAAATTAAGAAAGGGGTAACCCAAAGGGATAGCATGAAAGTGTTTTTTGGGGTGATGGAACTGTTCTGTATCCTGATTGTCCCAATGGTTACACGAATCTATGCATGGGTAAACATTCACAGAACAGTACACACACATGTGTGCGGGTGAGTACCAAGTCAATGTTACCGTATGTTACTTTTTTGTAAGATAGAGTCTTACTCTGTTGCCCGGGCTAGAGTGCCGTGGAGTCAGCCTAGCTCACAGCAACCTCAAACTCCTGGGCTCAAGAAATCCTCCTGCCTCAGCCTCCCAAGCAGCTGGGACTACAGGCACGCACCACCATGCCCGGCTAATTTTTTTCTGTATATTTTTAGTTGTCCAGCTAATTTCTTTCTATTTTTTTAGTAGAGACGGGGGAGTCTCACTCTTGCTCAGGCTGGTCTGGAACTCCTGAGCTCAAATGATCTGCCTGCCTCGGCCTCTCAGAGTGCTAGGATTACAGGCGTGAGCCACCATGCCTGGCCCTGTATGTTGTTTTAAAAATAAAATTTTAGAAAGAGGTGAAGGTACGCAAAAGGATTGACACTGCGGGGAGAGAGAACAGTATGAAGCCTGAAAAGATACTGCGGGAAATTTAACCTTTGGGTAATTGGAACCTTGAACAAATCGCCAGTGAGTAGTAAGGTTGGAAGCCAGGCGGCGAAGGTTTAAAGAATGACCGAGCAGTGGAGGCAAGGAAGCAGTCAGTGTCGTCTCCTCTTTCAGAACTCTGGAAGTAAAAGGAAGAAGAGAACGGCACAGTAACTCAAACAGGAAAGTAGACCTGAGAGATCTGGCAAACTGGCAGAATTTCCCAAGACCCCGTGAGTTGCTCCATTTAAATATTCTTCTAGAACATGTGTCTTCCACATCAACTATTCATTTTCTTATTGTCCCATTAAACTAAAACTGCATAATTCAACTACTAAAATAAATCCAAAGTCTTCACATTTTAAACTCTGCTCCTTAGTCAACTAACGTTTACTGTGCCCCTACTATATGCTAACTGCTGTGCTGGATACAAAAATGAATAATGCCTGGTCCCTGGAAGAGTACACAGGGTTTATCACAACAGCAAGGTACAGGAGCAGAGATCTGCACAAAGGGCTCTGAAAGCCTTATACTCTGAACTAAAATGCATTTGTTTATAAAAATCAAACAGGGGGAAATAAAAACGAAGCTTAAATGTACTTTTGCAAAAATGTTTTTAATTTCTAAAAACCAAGAATGAGCTGAATTTAACATAAAAACCTTAAGTTAGGTATGAGCAACTTAATCATCAGTGGTATTCTCCTTTTCTACTCTGTACTTTTCAGTGTCCTTTCTGCTTTCCTTCCTCTGGGTAATTTAGCATGGAGGCAAAATGAAATACGCAGTCTTTGAAACCAGACAGACTGGAGACTAAACCTATGCCTTTGACTTTCCTAGCTGTGTGGCTCTTGGAGACCTTTTTGCTCATCCATATAACAGTAATGATACCTACCCCACAGGCTTGAGGTAAGAATTAGGGGAAAAAAGTGGAAAGAGGCTGGAATATGGTAAGCATGCAGTAAACATTAGCTAATATTATTACTACCATTTCAACAAATGGTATTGTTCTGATTTTAAAACTTTTTTCTTTTTTGAGACGAGATCTCACTCTGTTGCCTAGGCTGGAGTACCGTGGCACGATCATAGTTCACTGCAGCCTCAAACCCCTGGACTCACGAGATCCTCCTGCCTCAGCCTCCCAAGTAGCTAGGACTATAGGCACATGCCACTATATCCAGGTAATTTTTTTTAGAAAGATGGGGTCTTGCTGTATTGCCCAGGCTGGTCTCAAACTCTTGGCCTCAAGTGATCCTCCCACCTCAGCCTCCCAAAGTGCTAGGATTACAGGTGTGAGCCACCATGCCCAGCCTAAAACATTTTTAAGTGCTTCCATGTGAATGAGGAAAAAAATTATTTTCAAGGCCATGACATTTATATGCTACCATAGGAAGGCAGCTTGGGAATTTCTTACTTCTCTTTAAGTCCTACAGGAAACTACTCTGCTCAAATAATGATGCATGGAATAAGCAATTAAAAACAGTCAAGAACTAAGAAAACATAAAAGCATCATTATCATCACTATGTCCCAGGTGGGACAAGCCAGTATGCTATGTCCTGGATACTGGTGAATGTGCCTTAGTGTAGGGAGGTACTACAGTCATATCCCTCCCACTACCTACCTACAGTCATACTGCACACTGTAGAGGTGTAAGACAATGTGCTAAAAGTTCTGCTCTTTAAGAAGCATTTACACAACACTACCAAAAATACGTATGTAGTTTCAACGCCAAAATCACTGATGCTTCTCCAAGAGGAAACTTACACTACTGAAACTTCCTACAATGAAGAGAGAAATAGCCTCTATTATTAAACATTCACAAAATGCTAAGGTGTATGATTTCTACACATCTTACTTGTATATGCTTAATTGTTGGGACAGCACTAACGATGTTTTATTCGCTGACTCTTGGTTTGTTTTATTCATGAACTACGCAGAAATATCTCTGGCCAATTTTGTTGTATAATTTTGCTTATACTATAATACAAATGACCAACTTGAATTTCCATGTATCTCTCAATCTCTTGCATGTGTGCTAAAAAGTAACAAAATAGCCAAAAGATACATGAGAAAGCAAGGGGCTAAAAGTTCAAGACTGCTAACCTGTGTCCAGAGAATTAAAGATGGGCTGGTCCTTCTAAAGTGCTTGACAAGAGGCTACCATTACTGCATGTCTTTAGTTACTAGAGTGTATTTCGATGGATTGATAATTAGGCGCTATAGGCCAACAAACCTGGTATCTTTAAACTAAAAGGTACCGGAGGAGAGGAAGGTGAAAAACACTCCCCGGGACTGTTTCACCCGCAGCTGTCTCCCCCTGCCCTGCATTTCGCGGTCGAAGGTCCGAACGCCTCCCCAAGAGTCAACACACACAGGGCTCCGGGGAGGGGTGTGGGATCTCCCGCCCCGCGTTAAGCTGGGGAATGCATTTCACTCCATCACGCAGGTCCTTCATACAAGGCAGGGTTGCCAGGCAGGGACCGGAGGCTCGGAGGCCTGACGCTTCTCTCTGCCACCGCCAGGCAGGGGCAGACGCGCCTCCGCGGGCTTCGGCTCTCGGCCGCCCCCCGGGGACGGGAGAGCCTCCCTGCCCGAGGGCCCCCAGCGACGGGAAGCGAACTTGACTCGGCCAGCCCACCCGGAAGCCCTCCCCCAGCTCACACCTGCCGGCGCGTGATGCCCGGAGCCGCGCGAGCCCGCCTGTCCCTGCCCGGCCATTCGGGCCGCTCCGGCCAGCGCGCTGGACGTCGCCCCGTGTCCCTCCCCGCCCCTCGACTCAAATCCACCCGGCGCTCGCCCCCACGGAGCGCGCGCTCAGCCCCGCCTGCCGTGCCGGCCCTGCGCGCGCTCACGCCCCCTCCCCAGCCCGCTCCCCGCCGCGCGCGCGCTCACTCGCGAGGACACGCGCAAGCCGCGCCTCAGCTTGCCACCCCGGGCCGCGCTGCGCGCCCCCGCGGCCGTCCTCGTCGACCCCCGGCCGCCCCGCTCCGACCCGGCGGCGCGCGGGGGAGGGGAATGACGGTGCGGCCATCGGTCCTCACTCACCGCCGAGCTGTGCCGGCTCCGAGTGCGCGGCGTTCCGCTGTGAGGCGAGGCGATGCGCGCGGTCCCCGCTTCTCCGCAGGCTATGGAGGCGACGTCGTAGGGGGACTGAGGGGTGCGGGGGTCACTCCCTCCCGCTTCACCTTCCAGAAGCACGGGGACCCCAGAAACTAAAAACAAAATAAACAAACTTTCCCCTCCGCCTCCCTCCCCCAAAACCACAACACAAACACTCAGAGGCCCGCCCAGAGCCCCACTCCATTGGCCGCAGGGAGAATTCTTCGGGCTTTCACTGGTTCGCTTTTGTGCCCGTCAAACTGCTGTTCCGCCCCTCCAATTCCTCGCCGCTGCCGTCGCCCCTCATTGGTTAAGTGCTTCCCGTTTGACGAGCTAGGATTGGCTGAGCTGCCTGCGCCAATCATGTGGGGACACACCCCCTCAGCATCCCAGAGGCCGCTTCCTTGGTCGCGGGCCGGGAGAGGCGAAGGGGAAACTAGAGCATGATGGCGGCCGGGCTTGCTTGGCGCAACCATTGTCTTTCTCCTTTTTGCAGCTCATTAGTGCCTCGCTCCGGCGCTGTTTCCCCTAAGCTCCTCTCTCCATCCAGTACTGCCTAATAACGGAATCTATACGTGCCGGCTCCTTGATTTATCCCCTCCGAAGTGCTGAGTGTGGGCTGGTTGTGCGTCATTGGACTGTCAGGATGTCACTTCCAGGTCAAATCTTCAAACTATTGGTGGACCAGCAAGAAAGCCCGTCCAACAACAAGGGCTAACGCCATTGGTGTGACTCCACTGAGTTCTTTCCTGGCACATTATTGGGCAAATGGGTACGTCATTGAGACCCATATTCGCTGTGCTACAGTTAATTGTTTACTGGGGAGTTGGGGTCAACTCTGGTTATTTGGCCAGTAGCTGACGATAATAGTGACTACCGTTTATTGCATGCCTACTTTGTGCCAAGTACTGGGATGAGTTCTTTACAGAGATTGTCTGGTTAAACCTGTGAGTTATACCGTATCTAATTTTTACAGATAGGAAACTAAGGCTCAAGAGAGATTAGGTAATTTTCCCAAGGTCATCCAGATAGAAAGTAGTTGGTGGGGCCGGCATTTGGTCCTAGGTCTTTCTGACCCCAGAGCCTTCACTCATTTTACTATGTTTTCGTGCTTCTCCCTTAGCTCAGAATCATACCTGTCAGCCAACCTAACATCTTAAAAATGTTTCCTTCGGAACCCAAGATCCTCAATCAATTTCTGAAAGTGATGTTGTTGGGTTTTGACTATGGAGAGGTTGTCACTGCCTCCACTGCGTTCTCCTCCCCTGCACCCGTTCCTCTCTGCCCTAAGTTAAACAATCTTGGTATTTCCTGACCAGAAACCCACCTACACCTACGTTCATTTTTTCAGCTTTATAAATGGATAGTTCCATCATCCCCGCATACCAAGCCCACCCACCACACCCAACCCCTGACCATCCGTCTCCAATTCATTCTTTGAAGAGAGTTCTCAAGCTCCAGAAACAAGGAGAAATAGAGTTTAAAGAGAGATAAAGAATAAATCGCCTTAGAAATGAATAATTTATTGCATGCAAAGAGAACAGCCCTTCAGCTCCTGGAAAGCTTCCAGGGAAGCTGATGCTGAGCAAGACTGTGCTCCTGGCTGGAGGCCACTGGGTTCTTTCTCTGTGGCAGCTTTCATTGAAGCAAATCCGACATTTCACAGGGGAGGGCAGGACGCTTAGGACACACTGCCAGAGTGCCAGCCCTGAGCCTTTGGGACCAAAATGATCTCCAGGAGCACAGCACTGGACTCTAGCCCACGTTCCATCTCGGGTAATTAATATTTTACCATCCCAAATCCCCAACCCCTGTAGCTTCAGTGGGATCACCGCCCTTGTTTCACTTCCTGATCCAAGCTGTTGTGTAACCTCCTTGGCACTGCTTTAATAATAAAACAACCATTGTAACATGGTAACAATGCTCAACACTAAGAGCCTTTCAGCAGATGAAGCCAAGGTATTTCACAAAAATCAATTAAGAGTAAATGGCACGGTATTCTTAGGGCAACTGCAAGAAGGACAGAAGAAAGATTGTGAGTTGAATTCTAATAAAAGTCCTAAATCCTTACAAGTCTATGTTCATACCCACACTAGCATTCCAATATGGGGATTCTGAACTAGAAAAAACAATGCATGAAAAACATTGAGGGTCCAAAACCTTCCTTACCTTCATAGTTGGTTGTACCCCTATTTTAGCCCTTAAACTAGTGCTTGGTTTTAAAGTTAATTGTTGGATACATCCCAGTTGTAAGCTCCTTGAAGCAGATGGTCCCTTACATTGTTCTGATTATAAAAAGCCTCCAAATAAATAATTATTCAGTAAATATTCAGTGAGCATGTCAGGCACTTTCCTAAGGTACAGAGGCTACATAGATAAATAAAACACCTCTGCCTTCATTCAGGGACCTCAGTCTAGTGGGGATGGCCAAAGAGGTAAGAAGATAATCACAGTGCAGTGCTGTGATAAGGTGCCCTGGGAGCACATGGGAGTGACATGGTCTCAATCTCAGAGAGGGATGGCTTCCTGGAAGAAGTGACATCTACAAGAACTAAGGGATGAATTGTGGTTAGCTAGGCTAGAGACTGGTGATGTGCGGTGACCTGCACTGTTTGTTATCTGGGGACAGGGAGCAGGATGGGAATACCCAGGAATAGCCAAAGCCTGTTCTTCTTATCATCTTTATCCTTGAAGACCTTCAGCTATTTGTTCACTCTACCTCATTGTGCTTTCCCTCCCTGGGAGCGAGCAGAAATCCTGAAACCCTGTTGTGTTTGCCCACTTGAGAATAGTAAAATAATTTCCAAATAAGATGGCTATTTGTTCTGACCATAAAAGTAACATTGAGTAAATATAACATTCACTCAACTCAGTATAACATCCTATATTTCAGACAATAGAAAAAGTTATAAAGTAGAAAGTAAAAGCTTCCCATAGTCCCATGACAACAGCCAACCACCATTAAGAGGAGTATCTTCCCAGACTCTTTTTTATGACTAGATCCACACATGAATTTCTTCTTCCAACAAACAGTGGGATGTGGTTCAGGGTCTTGTTGGGGCTCTGAGAGCCCGCATTACTCAGAACTGCAGCTTTGGATGGAACCTGTCCTCACTTTCTATACTTATAGGAAGGAAGCCAATCAATCAACTATTTATTATGGAAGAGGGTTTCAAATTCCTGTCGCAGCAAATGACAGGACTTTTGGGGCTTGCCAAGCCTGACGTGAATGTGGAGTCAATGAATGGGGTGGGGGTGTCTGCACAGGAGGGCTTACAGGCATGCTTTGGTAGCCGTGGAGTCTATCCATGCCCTGAGAAGACAGCCCAGGTCAGAGAATGATATGCTAGGGTGCTCTCCTTTGCTGTCTTTCTCATTTCCTCTGTGCATGCTACTTGGTGAAAATATTTTTCTGTTTGTTTGTTCCAACCCACCCAGTCTTCAGAGTAAAAAGACTCTTTAAGCCCTGCACACTTGTAAGCCAGCCAAGTGCACTATGTTCTTGGAGTGCTATGCTATTCTTAGAGCTCTATATGTGGTTTTCTATACAGTTGGCTTTTTGCTGGAGGGGAAGGCAGATTTAATGAGTGATAGTTGCCTTGGATGGCTACCAAAAGTGCTCCAAGCCATCCCAAGCAACAAGCCTTCCATTTTTCCCTTGAAAGATTGTGCTGTGATCTCTGCCCTTGGCCTGGACAAAATCCAAGGCAATGGGAATTTTTGTGAGCTATTCTGCAATGACCCACAAGCTTGACGTGGTATAGTCAGCTGGATCTGCTCCAGCTCTGATTTCTGTGGCACAGGAGAACTCCCTCCGCCCTTTGCACTGGCCTTTCATTGCTAGGAGGCATTTGGAAGTGTTTGTAAAGCATTTTCCAATTCTTGAAGCTTATAACAATAGGAAGATCCCTGTAAAGGAATCTAATCCAAAAGACAAGGGGACAGCTAACAGCTGATACTGCTCACTTGGGCAGTAGGTGTGGCCATCGCCAAAGACCAAGAGCAATGGGGAAGGGGAACTCTCTAGAGGGTGCTGATTACAGAGGACATGCTCAAAAGCATTTATTACATGTCTAGTAGCATTTACTGTGTAACAAAGCCCTTGAGATACATGCTGCATCACTTCTAAATCACCTCTCATTTTTTGTGACCACTCTTCCTGAAAAGCCACTTAGTTAAGGAGCAAACACTGGCCCCCTCCTGTGTGCTGGCCAATGCCAGAGATATAGGAGGTTCACAAGAACCAGGAGATGTGGTGGTTAGTGATAGCTACCATTGCACGGACACTTGCTGTGTGTCAGACACTGTATTAAGGGCTGTACAAAGATCATAGCAGTTAATGTTCACAGCAACCATGGTTATCCCCATTTTTTTTTTTTTTTGAGACAGAGTCTCACTGTGTTGCCCGGGCTAGAGTGCCATGGTGTCATCCTAGCTCACAGCAACCTCAAACTCCTGGGCTGAAGCAATCCTCCTGCCTCAGCCTCCCGAGTAGCTGGGACTACAGGCATGTGCCACCATGCCCGGCTAATTTTTTCTATATATTTTTAGTTGTCCGATTAATTTCTTTCTATTTTTAGTAGAGACGGGGTCTCGCTCTTGCTCAGGCTGGTTTCGAACTCCTGAGCTCAAACAATCTGCCCGCCTCGGCCTCCCAGAGTGCTAGGATTATAGGCATGAGCCACCACGCCCAGCCCTATCCCCATTTTCTATACAGAACAATGGAGGCACTGAAAGGCGAACTAACTTGCCCTGGGTCACCGCAGATAGTAACACCACATAGTTGAACCCAGACAGTCTGACTCCAACGAGTAAGCTCTTGTCCATGCTGCTACGTTGCCCCTGAGATGTCCACCTTGAGAACCCCACAGTGCAGCTGGGGAGACAGCCAACCCCCAGTGAACAGTTGCCCTCACAGCCTTTATTATACAACCCCATCCTCTTTTTCCCTATAAACTCAGGGAAAGAGGCACACCTCTTCCCGGCTAAATTGCAGCCTCTGGTGGTCCTTCCTCCATATCCCAATTGTGATCTGATTTTCCTCCCACCCTTTTCAAATAACCTCCTTCTTTCTTTCCTTTTATTCTCTGTTTCCTTATCTCAGTTTCTTAAATAATGACCTGTGGCCATCT